GCAGAGATTAAGAAATATTTACCATTCCCTTCTTCTGTGGGCACCTTGGGACTGTGCAGGTTGCCCAAGGCCACACAGGCTAGCTTTAATCACAGGAGGCAAAGTGGGAAATCGAACTCCCAACTTCTGGCTCCGCAGCTAGATGCCTAAATCATTGAGGTATTCATCCAGCTACCACTGTATAGACTTATCTTAAAATCTTACTAATGTTAAGTTACTAAATTAAAATTGATTTTGAAAGCTTAGTTTTGCATCTCTCTCAATACTCCTTGCATGGATTGATAAATAACATTGTAAAAGGCTTGATTTTTTTATATGAGCCAGTTTAAAATATCAGTTCTGCTGCTTTTAAGTGTAAAGTATGTTAAAATGTATTCCTCTTATATAAAGTATATGGTGGTTTTTGAAGAATCTTTTTATTTACTGTACATTTGTTTAAGTTATACAGTGTATGATACATGGATATTTCATCCAGGTCCTGTGATTTGAAGTCTAAAAATATCTTATGAAACCAGATTGATTTCAAATAAGGTAAAAGTCCTGTTGTATCCAATTACATGCTTTGTTTACTTTCATCGAGGAAGGTAGGGAATGTACGACCCTCCATATTTCCTAGGGCTGCAACTTTTCATCAGCTCTAGCCAGCATAGCCAGTAGTGAAGGATGACAACTTGTGGAGGGCCACAATTTCCCCATTCTTCCTTTAACACATATTTTAATGCAAGAAGTTACAGGCAAAACTTGTTTGGATATAAATTGCAGGTTTGTAACTGGTCACTTGATTGGATGCTTGTGGTAAGTAAAAAGTGCCTCCAGGTTCTAGTAAGAAAGCTTTAGGAAAGTGCTATGGACCCTCTTTTCCCCCTCTCTCTTTCTCTTAGTTTTGTTTCCTGTCTGCCTCCTACCCTCATTCCTCTCCCCTCCTGCTTCTCTTGACTTTTAAATAAACCAGAAGATTGCAATGCCACTTCTATTGTAATACCCCTTTTATCTGGGTGTCACAGTCTATCAGCTGAAGACCACTGTACGCTGCATATGTGAAGATACTTGTTAAAAAGAATATTCTATTTACATTAGCTGTACTTGACTAGTCAGGGTAAGGCCAGGATGATGACTATATAAATAACATTTCATAAAAATCTCATTAGTTTTGTGAGCTGCACTTTATCTGTTATAATAACATAATTCAGAGATAATTACAGCTTGTGTTTGTAACCACAAACCATGTAATTGCTTGCACTTATCTTTTGAAGTTAAAGCAACCTGCAAAGGTAATGTGAATAGAAGGTTATGAATAATTCAGTCTAAGGCCTGTGTAGCATGTGTGATTAGGTTTGCAACTTAATTTCTTTATTGTTTGAATATTTGCACAATTAACAAAACAGCCAGGTCAGCACAGCCTTGATCATTTGAATGATAAAAGAATGTTTTTAAAAAATCATTCTTGAAACATGTTACAGTGGTGCCTCGCTTAACGATTGCCTCGTTTAGCGATGAATTTGCATAACAATGTGTTTTTTTAGAAAATAATATGCATCGCATAACGATGTTTCCTATGGGCGATTTTCGCTTAGCGAAGTTTGGGACCATGCTTCGCATAACGAAGGCGTTTTTAGGTCCCCTGCTTCCCTTAACGATGTTTTTTTTTTCAATTAAAAAAGTGTCTTAGAAGGGTCAAAAACAGTTCTAAATGCTTCGATTCGTTAGAGGACCCCTTAAGTCATGTGCAGACCTGATTTGGCTTTGATCTGACTTTTCGTTAATTTTTTGTGATTTTTTTTTTGGCCCATAGGAACCAATGGACCTGTCAAAATCTGACAGCTCCATGCTTTCCTATGGGGGAGAAAACAATTTACAAAAAATTAACGAAAGTTCAGATCAAAGCCAAATCAGGTTTGCACACAATTTAGGGGGTCCTCTAACGAACCCAAGAATTTAGAACAGTTGCTGAGTCTTCATTAATTTATTGTGAATTTTTTCTTCCCCCATAGGAAATAATGGAGCTGTCAGATTTTGACAGCTGTCAAAAGTAGGGGGGAAAAATTCACCATAAATTAATGAAAAGTCAGATCAAAGCCAGATTAACTTTTGCATCCGTTTTAGAGGGTGCAGAAGCTAATCCAAGCATTTAAAACCATTTTTGACCCTTTTATGACACACTTAATTTTGCAAAAATTGACTTCGCAAAGCGATTAAAATGTATTGAGTCAGCTTCAATACATTCCAATGGAGGATACATTGTTTCGCTTAGCGATGTTTCCTTTGGGTTTTTTCACTTAACGATGGCAATCCGTTCCAATTGGAACGGATTAACCGGTTTCCAATGCATTCCTATGGAAAATGGTGTTTCGCATAGCGATGGTTTCACATAGCGATGTTTTTTTTGGAACCAATTAACATCGCTATGCGAGGCACCACTGTATTTCCTCCTGTTTCTGTAGACTTGAGAGGAGTGGGATAGGAAGTGTGGGGAGGAGGGGACTGCAAGTTAAACAGAAGAGGCATATAACTTATATGTTGCAACATACAATAACATATATTTGGAACAATATTCTAGTACTGTAATTGAAAGCATGTGTCAGAACCTTTATGCTTTCCTAGCTAAGGTGGTATAACCTGTAGGAACTATAGTTCTGTATAATATTTCAGGAGATAGATCAATTTCAAGGATTCAGGCATTTGTTTCTGTTGAAAGGATTCTGCCTAGTTCCACAAAAATTCCAGATGGAATCTCCATTTCTGGGATCATTTTCTTTGTTTTGGAGACCCGAGGGAGATTTGGGTGGAGTGAAATGGTGCTCCTCCTGGAGGCTTCTTTATCCCCTTTTCTTCGGCAGTGTGAAGCTATGGATGAGCCTCAGAAAGCCTCTGGAATTCATGTGACCCACACTTCTCCCACTGTAACCCAAAATTAGCCACTCCTTTGGCAGTACCAGGACTGGCAGCAGCAACTTTCAGGCTTTAAATGTTATATACCATCTTCTACAGCTCCTGAAGTCTGTCCTGGGTTAAAGGTGGTCACTAGGGGTTCTTGGAGGTGGTGGTGGGAACTAGGAAGTTTTTAATTACCTTGAAATGGCCATGGCACAAGTGCAGCTGAAGTTATCATCCAAGTTGAATAGCATAAAGTACACAACAGGATTTTACCCAATGTTTGGTCTGAAACCTCTACATTTAATTCATTTTGCCAGATTTCCTTCTGTATTCCTCTAAAAATAGGTAATTGCTTTTTATATTCTGTCATGTTTTGAAATCTGTCTTATTCAAAAAGTTTATTTTTACATTCTTAATCTTTTCTACAGCATTGGTGAATTCCTTATCCATGGGAATGATCTTCTTCTGTTCTCCCATAGTCAGTATCTTTACCAATATATATGGCTGCCGAACAGTAGCTGTTGTTGGAGCAGCTGTTGCTTTCATTGGGCTTCTTTCAAGCTCATTTGTGAGGTAAGAATGCAAACACTTCTCAGAATTTAGTTGTTATGTGGCAGACAAAGCACATGATGTCTTCTGGTAGCCTGATTATATGTCCTCAGGTTATAGAGGATACTGCCATTTACTTTATGGCTTTTCAGCTGCTTTTCAGCTATGACAAGTAATTTGGAAGCCATATTTTGTATTTACTTAAGTCTCTGTTCTTACCTAGGTAGGTCAACACAGTATGGTGTGTTACATGTCTGAATCATAATGCACTTAAGACATAGCCTTCAAGCATTAATCTGCTTGTTTGAATTCATGATCTGGCTTCCACGGGCAGAAACACCCAAAATTGCCTCACCCAATTTTTTAGAGATCCCTCCTCTTGCCATATCACAGGTCATCTCAATGACTGTGTTTCCTTTACCATCTGGGTAACACTTCTGGGAGTCTGGATAGTTTGAAGGAAGGGGACGAGGAGATAAAAGATTCCCCTTCTGCCAACGGTTGCTTTTGCTTCAATTTAAAATGTATTTTAAGTACATTTTCACCTAAATCATGTCTCGCAGTTTTCTAAATGTCTAAATTGATTCATTAGTAAGATATAAAAACAGATTTGTTGTCCTTATGGATGTCTCTCCTAATTTTTTGCTGTTGTAAAACATGGACTTCAATAAGATTTGTCCAGTTTATATTAGTAAATCAGTTCTTATAGCAGTTACAGTGGGGTCTCGACTTACGAACGACCCGACTTGCGAACAATTCGAGTTACGAACCTGCCCTATAGGGAAATTAAGGACTCCACATGCGAACTTCCCTTGAGTTACGAACAGGGAAAAAGTCCCCCCTCCCTCCCCTTAGAGGCTTCTGGAGGGGGAAAAGGGTCAGAAACTTAAAAATAAATACTGTACTGTTAAATAAAGTCACTTACCAGGCCTTGGTAGCCCCCAAACCAGAGCAGATACGGATTAAATGGTTTTCAGTGCATTCCTATGGGAAATGCAGATTCGACTTAAGAACTTTTCGACTTGAGAACCACCTTCCAGTACGGATTAAGTTCTTAAGTCGAGACCCCACTGTACATGGTATTATGCAGCTAACTGCAACTAATTGTGTGTATCCAAGATGATGTTAGGTTTGTGGTTTTTGAAACCTTGGTCCCTTCTCCCTTGCCACATAGCAAACACATTTTACAGCCAAGAGAATTATCAAAGTACAGTATTATGTGGAATGGTTGGGAACTGTGTGTAATACCCGGTGGTAGGGAGTAAAAAATCTTACTGTTCTATCTTCATGCCCTTGGGTGTACTGACATTGTTCTTTGCGTCCCAGTTGCAACTGTATCTTTTGGCATAGGTTTTCTCCCCCCCTTTCCAGATATTTGTGGAAATACAACATCTGCAAGTGATGTTTTTAAAATATAGTTTTCTCTAATAAAAGCTTCTCTTTCTGATAAGATATAATATAGTAACATATAATAGGGTAGTTTTTTTCAGAAACGAAGTGATTGTGGAGTAATATTGATCGAAGTTAACTATTTAAATGCTTGTAATATAAACCGAGCATGAGGAAAGATGGTAAAGTTCAGCTATGGAGACTGCTTCGGCACATGTAGTATATTGATCTTCATAGAATTATGAAATATTAATATTCATTGTATCAAAATTGGGTCTGACTGTACATTCAAGAATTATGAATGTACCAGACTTGACTTATGAGCCAAATAATTTTGAGTTTCAGCAGCATCATTCATTCATAACCACACTGAGGCCCTTGTGAGGGTTGAAAGATAATATGCCTATGTTTTTTATAATAAATCAAAATGCTATAAATATGTGCAACACTTTGATGAACACTTTTTTCCTGTCTGTTGTAGCTCACTTGGACCTCTCTACTTCACTCATGGAATCTTATTTGGCTGTGGTTGCTCATTTACTTATCAGCCATCCCTAGTCATCTTGGGACATTATTTCAAGAAGCGCCTGGGACTGGTGAATGGAATTGTCACTGCTGGCAGTAGCTTGTTTACTATAACACTGCCTTTTCTTTTAGATATACTGTCTGACTCAGTTGGCCTGCATAACACTTTCCGAGTCCTGTGCATTTTTGTGTTCATTCTCTTCCTGGCTGGTTTTACTTATAGACCTCTCATTCCTAGTGCCAAAAAGAGTGGGGAAAAGAGCAGGTTCATCTTTCCTCCTGCCAGAAAGATGTTCAATTTTTCAATTTTCAAAATTACAAGTTATCGAATCTGGGCTTTTGGAATCCCAGCTGCTTTATTTGGATATTTCATACCTTATGTTCATTTAGTAAGTATACATATTTTTATTTTTATTTAGCTTTATATTGTATTGTTCCTTTAACTGAATATAATAGATTGATACATTGAAAAACACTAGTGAAAATAGGTTCACTTTATTTCCAAACTAAAGAAGACTCAAGGGAGAAAATGGCTGTTATGTGTACCTTCCTTTTTGCAAGAACATTATATATAATATTTCCCTCACTTATGCATTTGTGAGAGTATTTTGTAGTAAGTAAGATAAGTGCTTGTTGTCAAATGCTACACTGGTCAGAGGAGAAGAGAGAGAACTGCAGGTGTTTTTCTTTGTGGTTTGGATTACCATGATCTGGCTCAGTGGTGTGCACTATTGTAAGAATACATCCTGTTCAGGATAAGAATTTCCAGAACTCTGGTGCTTGGCTTTTTAGAAAAATGTGAGAATGCCATTGGTGAAATGTCACTGTGAAAGACAGGGACAGATAAAATGAAAGCAACATTGGTATCTGGTCTTGTGCCATGCAACAGAACTGACAGCATGTAGATATCACTACAACTCTATGTGTTTCTCAATTCCTTTGCTTGTCCACTTCTCCTTTACTAATTTCTTGTGTCCATTGGCTGCCCCCCCCATTTCTTCTTCTAAACTCCATTTTCTCTCTTTTACTGTGTCTGGCTGCTGGTTCTAGGGACCAGTTGTTTTTGTCATCTTCTTTGGGAGGTCTAGAATAGGGAAAATGAAATCTGTTTGTTCGTCCAACAGTATTTTTTATTCAAACCAATACAAATCTTGGTAAAAAAAAACCCAAATAGGTGGAGCCAACAATACAAAGTTGAAAAGCAGGAAACCCAAAGCATTCTACAGTAGATAGGCACGTTTAAATGTAGTTTTGAGGAGTCCATGTCAAATTTGCTGGGAGTTTGCATGTACAGATATTCCCAGAGACTTGGCAAAGGGAACAAAACCCCAACATTCTGTTTTAAATTTTGCTGTAGTACATCATTTTGTATTTTGTGCTGTGCTGAGTACTTTTCAGACATGTCTCCAGATAACATCCCTTAATATCTCATGAATTTGATTGAGAAGTTTGACCTTACTGACACATATTTGTGAGGGCACTCACTTGTTCTTTTGTGAAATATCAAAATCCCTCATGATAGGGAAAATATGTAGCTGAATAATTGCAGCTGCAGTTGTATGAATAGCATGTTTGCACTGAGTCTTAGATAGGAAGGGAACATTTTGTTTGCAATATCCAATCGTACCTCTGTACATCTAGAATATTTCTTCACTGTGTTGAAGAATTACTTCACAGAGACTGTGAAATGATATTTCTTCACTCAGACTGTGCATCATTTTCCTTGTATATAGGCATGCATTTTTCTAAGGTTAAATTGATATTAAAGAATGGGAATTGGCCAGCTTGATCATGGAGAGGGTTGAAAGATTCATTGTCTCTTAGGAAACAAGTTCAGAACACAGTGCCTTTAGCCCAGTTTCAGCAACTTGATGGTAGCAAGTGGGGATACTTCCAGCATGTTCCTTGTTTATAGGTATCCTATAATTGTGTCAAGAGAGCACTTTATTTGAAGAACATAATGCTTTCCAAGAACAAAAACTCTAGGAAGTCAGCACAATGTATGCCCAACATCAGCTTAGAGGTAGAAACCAGGCACATGCAAAGCAAGTGATGAGTAGTCTTTTCACCTTGGCTAACTATGATTGGAAAGGATACAAGCATTTTATCAAGGCCAGTTTTGTAAATATAAAACCTTTGTGTAATGCAGTATTCTGTAATGTAGTGCCTTCCCAATGTTTTGGACTACAACTCACTTCACCAGGACTTATAGCCATGTTGGCTATTTTATCTGGATGTGCCATTAATTTTTCTGAGACTCCAACTCCCAGAATTCCCCAGGAAGAATTCTGGGAGCTGCAGCCCACAGAGTCATCCCTACAGATAGCTAAATTTCACTTACCTGGACCAGGGCCTATCTTGGGCTGCATGGCTATTCTAGGACCATACTTCTTGTTGCTAATATGCAAAAATAAATAAATAATATTTTTAAATTTTTTTAAAAAGGAAAAGAAAAGTAGTACAAGTTCAAAACAACTGCTAGAGTGCTTTCTGGGAGTTGAGGTCTCACTTCCTTTTAGGGTTTAGAGCAGGCACCTCCCAATGAACTACAGCTCCCAGAAAGCGCCTCAGCAGCTGTTTTGGACTTTGACTTCTTTTCTTTTCCTCTTTTAAAAAAAATATTAACAAGAAGCATAGGCTTGAGACAGCCGTGCAGCTGACAAGATAGGCCCTAGTTCAGCTGAGTGAATTGTAAGTGTCTGGGTAATGTAAGGGTCTTTGAGCTGGAACTCTCAGAATTCTGCTTGGGGAATTCTTGGAGAATTGAAGTCGAAATACCAAACACAAATGGCACATCCCCACTTTTTTGATCTTGAGATGGGCCAAAACATCTGGTGGGCACCACACCGTGGAAGCCTTGTTTAAATCATTGCTATTTATACAGTGGTGCCTCACAAGATGATTTTAATTCATTCCGCAAAAATCGTCATCTTGTGAAAAAATCACCTTGCGAGGTTCCCTATGCATCAGTCTCAAAAAAAAAGTCTTGCGAAGCATGGGTCTTAAAAAAAGTCTTGTAAAGCATCGGTCTAAAAACAAAAACAAACCACGTCTTACGAAGCACGGTCATAGAAAAAAAAGTCTTGCGAGGCACCATAGTGATTGCAAAAAACAATCGTCTTGTGGATTTTTCGTTCCACAAGGCAATCATCTAGCGAAGCACCACTGTATTTGTCTGTCTTCAACTTAACCAGTAGTGATTGGCAGTTAAGTAATTTTTCATTACATTAAAATGGATAGATTTTCCAGTTTAAATTTCTGCTATTCAGTTTTAAAATCACTGTGAAAATTAGCTAGAACAAACATTACCTGTCTTGGAAGGAAGCCAAATGAGTGGTGTGAGAGATTCCACCTGGGATGTAGTATGCATATGTTTAGCTGTTTCTGAGATACAGGCTTCAAATGGGTTAGATCCTAATTATATGTTTGTGGTGTGGGATCATTCCGCCATAGAAGGCAATGCCCTATGTTTTCAAAACCAATTTTAAAGACGGGAAGACCTCTGGAACAGCATGGGTTGTATTGCAAGAGTCTGCAGCAAGAGGAAAGTACTGGAGAAAACTGCAGTTTCTAACTTTGCATGAAGAGAAGTACACTCTAACTGCCAAAGCAGCTCTTTGAATACAACCACAAATAATCCTCATCTGTGTCTTCTAGTATTTGTTTTTTTATGATGCTGTTGGCAATTTCAGTAAATAATATTAGGGTGAAAAAACGTACTAGAATACAGTATAAAGATTTCAGAACACCATGTGTCTGACTTATCCTGTGATTTAAAACCAAGTGTATAGGACACAATCTACTCATGACATGTCACATTCATTTCAATGTGTTGGAGACACATTTAACCACACATTGTAACCATACATACAATTTACTTGTACAATTTCTGTGCTAATGTCCTTATACTCAGTTTTCCAACAAATATTTCTTTTTGAAAAATAATTGTCATGATAGCAGTTAGCGGTTGGAGACAATTTTCTGTTTCTTTCTGAGGGTAATGCTGTACATTAAGTATTACTATTTTGAATTTTAAAAAAAATACATTTACACATGTGCCTGTGAAACATAGTAACCTTTCACACCATATTTCCCTTCCTCTTCTACCTTTCTTTCTCTTTTTATTTTGCCTCTATTCATGCCAACTCTCCATGCGTTTTTGTCCAAGGTTTACCATGGTACTTGTGTAACACAGTGCCACCTTGATTTTTAGCTGGATGTTTTCTAAGGCACCAAATCTTCAGGGACTCCTGTGTGCTTTACTTGCTTTTCTAATCTTTACATTTATCTTCCTTCAGATCTCAACTTCTGCTGCAATTTGACTGCCCAGGTTAGTGAAATTTCCCCCCTTTATACAGTTCTTCAACTGGTCTGCATTTCTTTTCTCTTCCTTGCACTTTTCAATGTTGACCTGGCAGTCTTGTGTTTGATTAGTCTAGCCCCTTTACTTCCATCTGAAAGTGATACATTACATTTGTTCTGTGAAAAATGCCAGGAAGCTATTATTTCCACTGTACAGGGATCTTAACTTCATATATTTATACCAGGCAAAACTGGCAACCATTCATCATTAGTTACTTCTCAGCACTTACTTCTTAGGGACTTTTTGAAAATCTGACTTGCTGTAAATTGTTAGGGGGAGAGCACAGTCAGTAGGCCACATGTAGGGTGAGGCATGAGTTAATTGAAATTAGGTTGTGTACATATAAATTAATCAAGTATAGCTAAATCAAATATAGCTAAATAGCTATCACCGAACATCAGAAACTGTTCTTCATGATTAGTCCTTTGTTATCTTGTCATACTCCAAAGGTTTGCAACAGGTTACAATGTACCTATATTTCAGAGCTGAGTAAGGACTTGATCTTCATAGTATATCCGTATGTCTGTCTATTCAGTAGTACCAGTTAGTGGGACAACTCACATGTAAGTATATATAGCACTACAACCTGAATCTCTCGTATCTACTGACACCCTATAATTACAGTATAACCCTGAGGATAATGCTCTGAGCGCCACAAATGCAGCAGTTTCTGAAAGTCCTTTCTGTACAAACTCAGAAGCTACCTACCAAGGTATATCTGGAACATGGAGAACCTTGGAAACTTGAGCCTGCTATCATGCAGAATGAAGAGCAGTGTTTTGCAAAGAAAAGCCAAGACATGCAGTGTTTATGGAAAAACATGTTTGCCTAAATATAATAGTTTTATTTGTGAGAGTTAACAGATTTTTAAGGTCTATGATCATTTGTATTCAAAATCCTCCAGAAATCCTCCATGAATAGGAAAGATATAATCTTGTATACTGTATTTCAATAGTCCATGTTCTTCATCCACAGGCAAATAGTATATGTTAATATGGAATAAAAGTGAACAATTTGATGCATATT